GTCTGGACTTAGTGCCAACCATTACTTTTACAGACTAGCCTGTTTTACAGCTATATAGACAGGTGTTTGAGAATATAAGAAATTAAAATAGAAATAGGAAAGCTTTTTAGTCCATTTTGCTAATTAATATGTCAGGGCTCATAAAGAAGAACTCATCAGCTTTCTTCAGTACTGCATCATCTTAAAGAGCTGGGTCAGCAACGATCTCTGCAGACAGTCAATACATATTAAAATAGTTCCAAGCAGTAAATCAAAACAAAAAAAAAATGAAGATACAGTAAAAAAGCAAAATGTATAAATCCTTTCTGTCTGAATGCTGAGAAGCATTAAACTACTGTTGTAAGTCTCAGTTCAGTATGTAGAAAAGGGAAAAACGAAAGATTCCTTCTTAGGCATAGTGAGTCTGCCTATAGAAAAAATTAGAGTATAATTAAAATAAAAAATGCCAAATTTGATGCCCTTTTCAATCGATTCTAATTTTCCTTCAAAAATACTTAAGTCATCTTTTACAATGGCTTTATTATTCAAAATATCCAACTTAACTTGCTGAGGTTTTTTTTTTTGGGGGGGCCCCCTTCATTGTAAGAATTCAAATTCTGTCAGTCAATTAGTGAGCTAGTTCAGGAAAGAGGTGAAAGAAGACAACATTTGACTTTTCAATAGTCTCTAAAATTTATGCTTTTTAAAAAAATAATAAAACATAAAGCATTTTGCTTCTCACTTCCCTGGTAAAGTCCCACCTTTCCACAGAAAATCAAACCTCTCCTATGTGGTAGAAAATCCTACAGGATTACAAATACGTAAATAAAAAACCAAAATGGCAACTTCCAGACTAGATTATAATGCCTATCACAAGCTGAAAAGGGGTTAGTTTCCAAAATATATTAAAAAAAAACTCATAGTTTAACAGCCAAAAAGCAATAACCAATCAAAAAATGGGCAAAAGACCTAACTAGATACTTCCCCCAAACCAGATATTCAGGTGGCCTATAGGCACATAAAAAAATCCTCAGTATTGGCTCTCCCTGGTGGCGCAGTGAGTTAAAGCACAGCACTGAGAATCTAAAACCACTTTCTCATGAGCTCAATCCCCGCCTGCCCCAGAGATGACCACATGGCGTGGCAGACCTCTCCTGACACGCCCGCTGCTCCCCTCAGCAGTGTACTCTGGTGAAGCCTCTCACCGCCCCTGAGCCTCTGGCCTGCACCCCAGTTCTGTATGCACAAATAAGTAAATCTTTAAAAAAAAATCCTCAGTATCACTTAGTATATGGAAATGCAGATCATATTCACAATCAGAGATCACCTCACACCAATAAAAATAGTCTATATCAAAAAGACTGGAAACAGCTGAGAAAGAAGACCATACAGCATTTGGTGGGAATGCAATTTGGTACAACCTCTATGTAAAACAGTAGGAAGATTCCTCAAACAAACAAACATATGATCCAGTGATGATATCATCCACCAAACATAAGATCCACTCCTACATACGTTCTCAAAGAACAGAAAACATTAACATGAAAACATTTATGCATGCCTGCTTAAAACAGCCTTATTCACAATGACCTAAGTTGCCATCATCAAAAACTAGAACACAAATTGTGGAATATGTATAGATACATACACACACACACTCACACACATACACAAAATCAATGAAATACTACTCAATTACTATTTAAAACAAATAAAATAGATGTAGGGCAAAATGGATCTTAAGGTGCTTATGCTAAGTGAAAAAAAATAGAAAGGAAATATTATTGATGGTTTCACTCATTTGCAGACTATAAATAACCAAAGAAAACATGGAAGAAGGACTGGGAGAGTAGTCAGGAAGTTTACAGGATACTGGCCCTGGACTTTGGTGGAGGCGAGAAGCATGCATACATATGGAGGTGTGCAATTATATTCCCCAAATTATATAGGTCTGTAAACAATTGGCACATCAATAAAATTTGAAAAGAAATTAAAAATAGCAAGGTGAAATAAGACCCAAACATGTAAATCATTCTGCCATCTTCCTTATAAAAGTATGAGATGCAAGACACTGCCATAGAAACCCCTGGGGTGGGCTGTTAGAGGAATCTCAAGAATACTGGACTGGTTTCAGAAGGGATGAAAGTCCACTACATTTTGGACCAAAACTGTTTGAAAAATTTATCTTACCTGAGCCTTTAATTTGAATGAGCTCTAAAGAGCCAACCATTTAAAGATTAAGCCAAGGAAATAGTGCCAAAAATAGTGTCACAAATTTGGGAGGTGCCCAAGACACACCAACAGATGGAACTTGGCACCTAATGGCCCTCTCCACACTGAGTAGCTGACTCAGAAGAAATTTTAACTCAGATGAATTCATTAAAATGTTGAATATCATCCTGAAAAAGAAGATGGATGATAGATTTGGGTTGGCATATACAATTTAATTTAAGGTCCTGATGTTCTTGGATAATATGAAAGCTACCAACATTTCTATGACGAGTTAAAAAAATAAATAAATAAATAAAGGGAAAGGGAAATACATTTTAGCAAAAGACATACATATATATTTTTCAATTCTACCTAGCCATTCTAGAGGATCAATGTTGGGACAAGGAGAAACAAAAAGGAAGTTGAATGACGCTCGTGAAGATTGGTGAGTCAATAATGATCACAGAACATTATAAGTTATGAGCCTCACAGACTGGTAATGATCGTCAGATTGTAGTGACTTGAGACTGCCTTATAATAGGTGAATATTTAAAATGATTCTGTACAACTGAAAGAGGCTGCTAGTCCAAAGGACTCAATCCTTCCTTACTACACCTGCCTACCCTCAATACCAAGTTCAGTGAGAATTTCCTGTACAAAATATAGCAGTCATAAGTTGTGTTGTACATGAGGGATATGTCCTGAAGATCACTGACATTTAAGTGAATTTTTCAAGAGAAATGAATATAAAAAGAGGGAGGGAATACCCCTGGACTATATGCCTTTATAACCTTGGTAGAACATTTTTCTTTAATGTTCCACTGCATTTTTTCAGAACTGTCCCTAAATATTTAACAGGGAACTCTCATTTAACTTAACTCTGAAGTGTACAATTTTAGAAGATTGCTTAGCCCTTTGCATTGTGTTTTAGCATATGTTATGTTTGCTCTATAGTTATCAAATTTCTGGTTATTTTTTAGCGTTTGCACTGCTGCCACAGATGGCCAAAGAAAAACTTGCTGTAATCAGATCTAAGTGTACTTAAAAATAGAAGAATAGTGAATGTTGTACTCACAGTACATGAGCAACCAAAAATCATCTCTAAAACATATGATTATTTAAAACAGTGTGGTTCATATGATATAAAGACTGTTGTACTATTCCTATCAATCAGTTAAAATAAGCCATGTGGAACTTACAATTAGTGTGCCTGACAGTTTTAAATTTATGTCATTTTTGACATTTTCTTTTAATTTGGAAGATTTAAATTTTTATACTTAGAGTAATTCTTTGTTAATATTTTTATATCAACCTATATAAAAACATATCACTTGAATTTACCTAAAATAGGATAGTACTATAGTAAGATAAGCACATTCCCATTTAAAAAGAATAGTAAATTTTTGGTACAGTAATTTGTTTGGAAAATAACTCACATTAAAATCATTTTTGATTTCCTGGGAAAAGCCAACAACTTTATTTTTTGCTTGTTTCAGAGACCCAATTGAACAACCTTAAAAAGTGCTTCCACGTTTACCATAGACTCCATCCTCTATTATCCAACATTATTATGGGTAGGAGAACTAGCCACGAGAAGCACCATGCATTAAAGATGAAAATAATATAGGTTAGCTAGAGCTTCCTTGGCCTTGAGAACTTCCTTTGCAGGCTCCTAAAAACATTTCCAGTAGTAGAGAATTTAATGGCAAAGGAGGATGGGAACAAGCAGTGTGTGTCAATTTATCACTCCCACAGAAAGCTTTTCTTTCACAGTGATCTAACCTCTTTAGGCTCTTTATTAGGAAGAGCAGAAAAGAAAAAAATCTGAGTTGTGAACCAGCCCTTCCCTGCTGTTATCACCAGAGAATATGGAAAAGGAAGAAAAGAAAAAATCATAATCTTGCCCTGGAACATGATGGAGGTAATGAGGCATCAAGACCACTTACAGCTGAAAACATAATTGGCACATAAACACAGGAGACGCTTGGTGATGGGAAGATTTCTTTGTTTCAGAAACTGAGGGATGCCAACAAATTGTAACTCTTCTGTTGTTTGGAGTGGTAATTCTAAGAGTAAAATGGATATTTCCCCCCAAATAATGCACCCCTAGAGGAAAGGGATTATTGAAGTATTTACCAGCTTAGTAGCTTTAAGTGTTTTCAACTAATGTGAATAAATGATGAAGAAAGGGCTGAGGAACAAAAGGCAGGTCACTTAGCACTGAAGGGAAAGCTTGAATTTGAGGTGTGAAGATATCTACACATGACAGAAAAAGACCTAGGAGGCTCTTAGAGATCCTTGTGAACACTCTAGAGAACCGCTAGGGTGCTCATTCATGAGTCTGGAGAAAAATACAGGCATCTCAGACACAATCCCCTTTGAAGACAGGCAAAAAGACTATTATTTTTTGAAGAGAAAGAATCCATGACATCTTTATTCTGGAACTCTTTGTCATGACACTTTAATGCAAAAATCACCATGAGTGAAAATTTCAAACTTTCTTGGATTTCCTTAAATACTGTTTTTTCTTCTAAGTGTTGAGTTAGAATATATGTTTTAAGATTTTTGGTTTCAAAAATATTTTTTGAGAACCTTTATTCTTTCCTCTCAAATATTTTGAGTCAGCATACATTATACCACTACACACAGCCAAGCAATAATTCATCTTTGTGGAAGTCAGAGACATCTCATGTATTAATTAGCAAGCCTTTCAATGACTAGTGGATGGAAACTGCTTCCAACTGCTACTCAAATACAGCTAGTGATTTCCAGGAAGGAGAATATTAAGTCAGTTATAAGGAATTTCTTACCCGATCTGTGTCCAGACAATGAATGGACTTTGCTTTCATCTGGCACTAAGAAGAAATAAGACACAAGAGTCAGATCTGCATGTAAATCAGCAACTTTCTGAGCAACAAATTAATACAGATTTAGAGTAAGTTAAATCTCTTCCTGGTAAAGATTTGAAAAATTTTTTCCCCTTAGTCTACCTGGGGCAGCTCATTTCTCATGCTAGATATTTTAAAAATAGCTATGAAAAAATATATGTTCATTAGATCCTCTATGAATATAATTTTCATTTTTCTTTGTTTTCTAACACTTTCATTCTTTGAATCTAAAGGAAAAGCTATTAAAGAAAAAGCTAAATTCAAGGACTTAGATGTACATAAATATATAATAAAACTCTGAGCTTGACAGAAATAGATAAATACTCAAAAGCAGAACTTTTGTATCTGGACAAAATAGAGCAGATTTACAATTAATCCTGAATAAATTTTTCTAAAATAGACAAAACATGAGACAATGGCATTCAAGCGTTTAGACATCAAGCAACAAAGGAGAGTTATTCTTGAGAGCTGGAAATAAAATGATGTGAATCCTACAGTTGCTCCAGCTTCCTATCTGGAGAAAGTTTCCCAGCTTTTTTTTTTTTTTTTTGTAGTGCTAGGAGAATTAAGCTAAGCCCAGGGACATCCCAGCCTGAGGACATGGGACTGGAGGTCCACAGAATTGAAGGCAGATGGAGTATGTAGAACAGGATCTTAAAGGAGAGGTTGATACAGACTCCCTTCTGATGTGTGTGAAGGATTCCCTCAAGTGTTATATACTGCTGACCACATGTGTACAAGAAAACTACACAAGACTTGGGAATGAGGCACTTAAAAGTGGAAAGAGAACAGAGTCTGAAGTTAACATAGGGCTGGGATGAGTGGCTGTGTGAATAGTCCCTTAACAGCCAGAGTGAAAGACTTCATAATAGAAGGGCCTTGCTTCAGTGGCTTTGGAAAACCTAGGTTCACATAGCTCTCAGGAAATGGAGGCATTTTTGAAAGACACAAATGACCAAAATTTATATGGGGGAAGAAATCAGAATTTCATTTAAAAAATGAACTTTTATATGCCTGCTGGCCATCTCCATTTCTTCTTCGGAGAAGTGTCTTGGAAGATCTTTCTGCCCATTTTTTGATGGGGTTATTCACTTTATTTTTGTTGAGTTTCATCAGCTCTTTGTGTACCTTTGTGATCAGTCCTTTGTCATTAAAATTGTGTGCAAAAATTTCTCCCAATCAGTGGGGTATCTCTTTGTTTTGTGTAGTGTCTCTTTTGCTGTACAGAAGCTTTTTAACTTGATGTAGTCCCAGCTGTTTATTCTTTCCTTCACTATCCGTGCTTTGGGTGATGTATCTTTAAAGGTATTATTGAGGTGTATGTCATGCAGAGTTTTGCCTACCTTTTCTTTTAGATATTTTATGGTTTCACATCTTACAGCTGTATGAAAAAATGCTCAACATCACTTATAATAAAGAGAATTCAAATTAAAGCCACAATGAGATACCACCTCACCCCAGTGAGAATGGGACATATTAAAACAACTAGCAACAACCGATGTTGGCAAGGATGTGGTGAAAAGGAACTCTCCTGCTCTGCTGGTGGGAATGCAAACTAGTACAACCACTATGGAAAACTGTTTGGAGGTTCCTCAAACCGCTAAACATGGAGCTTCCATATGACCCAGCAGTCCCACTCCTAGGTCTATACCCAAAGGACACAAAAACAGTGAATCAAAAGAATACCTGCACCCCCATGTTTATTGCTGCTCTATTTACAATAGGGAATATGTGGACTCAACCCAAATGCCCAAAAATAGATGACTGGATTAATAAGATGTACATATACACAATGGAATATTACTCAGCAATCAAAAAATAAACTTGTGCCTTTTGCAGCAACATGGATGGACCTGGAGGAGATCATGCTTAGTGAAATAAGCCAGCAAGAGAAAGAAAAATAGCAGATGGTTTCACTGATAACAGGAGCATAAGAGATCAAGGAAGGAAAAAAAAAAGAGGGATGGGGAATCATGTCAGAACTGGGATGGGAAGAGTGCACTGGATTATGGTGATGACACACAGGTGAACTGGTGATAGGAGGCCCCTGGGGATTACAACTGAGCTGGAAAAATGCACAAAATGAAAAATGATGTAAAAAAAAGAAAGTATGTTTACGGTGCAAAATAAATAATTAAATAAATAAAAATGAATTTTTAAAACTTTTCCAACAAAGAAAACTCTAGCTCCACATGGTGTCACCGGTGAATTCTACCAAACATTTCAGGAAGAATACCAATTCTATGGGAATCATTGCAGAAAATTCATAAGAGAGTTTTTCTCAACATGTTTGATATATCTGGTATTACCCTATGTTAATGTCATGTGGAGATATTACAGAAAAGTATTAGCAAATAACCCTCATGAACATCAGTGCTACTTCTTTCTTATTCCTGAAGCTCCTTTGCATGGACTGCCACTTCCTTCACTATTCAACAATAGCTGTTATTCACCATGCATCCTCATTTGTACCCCCATTCTCTAGCTTAGTCTATAATTTAGGGTGGGAAAACTTGGTAACAAAAGAGGGCCTACTCCATTTCCTCTAACTCTAGGTTGATCTCAAAGTAGCATGACATCCTTGTTCTGTCTATGTTTCAGTCATATTTTATTGACCCAGTTACTATACATAAGTCTTTTCACTCCCACCTGCCCTCCTTTCCTTTGCTAGTTCCATTTTCTTTCTTTCTTTTTTAAAATATTTATTTATTTAATCATACAGAACTGGGTAAAGGCCAGAGGTGTTGGGGGTGAGATGATTCACCAGAGACAGAATGGGGAGCAGAATTGGCAGATATACACTGCTGAGGGGAGAAGTGGGTAAGACAGGAGGGGTCTGCTGAGCCACATGGGTCACCTCCCTAGCTAGGGATCTATTGCAAGCTGAAGTGGCTTGCTTTAACCCCTTGCACCACTAGGAAGGACCCCTACTATTTCTATTTTCCAGATGAAAAGCAACGCATGTCTGTGATTTTACTAATATCAACTGTTTAAAAATATTGGTATAATTTCCATCATATCACCCTAGAGGAGATAAGTCAATCTGTGCTTATGAGGCTCCACTTGTGGGCCACGTTCTTTATAGGATCTAAAAAACTGATGTAGGAATCTATAGTGTAAATAGAAAAGAAGTAAAAATAATGATGGCGATAGCAGCTAATAGTTTCTGAGCACTTGCATTATCAGGTTCTTTAGTATGCACTTAATATATAATTGATTTAATCTTTATGATGGCCTTGAAAGACAGATATTACCTCCATTACCAATAAAGAAACTGAGGCATATCTTGTAAGCAGAGGAGCCAGAAATTGAACAAGGCACTCTTAACCACTCCACTATACTTGTGTTAAGAGTCCTAGAAGAGTTGTTACACTTTAAAATCAACAGCAGCATGAATTAAATATAAGAAAACACTTGACTAATAACTATATGCTAGAAGACAATTATCCTTTTTATGTGAATATGAGCTCTTCATGGAAAGCATTCTGTGATGACCAATATTAACAAGTTTTTGCTGTAATTTGTTTATCATATTTGGAAATCTTGCAGTTTTAATGGGTTCCAGCTAAAATATTCATTCCCATTTCACAGGGGAGAAATCATCTGAGTTAAAATCATGACTTGGAAACATATTAAAGTTGTGTTATCCTTCTGTACTTAGTTTTATCGCATGTAAAGAGATACTAGTGCTTACCCTATAGGTTTGTAGTGAAGATTATAGGTATAAGTATGTGCTGAGCATTTTTATCATACATTAGGTGCTTAATAAATATTAGCTATGCTCATTATTAATGAGAAACTACACAGAGACTAGTTAAGGAGAGCTAACAATGCTTTGCCAAGCAAGTTACTGAGTTCTTATTAACCTCAGTTTCTCCATGTGAAAAATGAGGATAAAAACACTCTGCAGGGAGCTGTGAGGACTAAATAGGAAATGTGTACCAAAGCTCTTAGCACAGTTTCAGGTTCATAATTTTCACTAAATGAAAACTTTTGATAATGGAAGCTGTCAGATTGGTAAGGGTGCTGAATGTGACGATGGTAGTATTTACGGTTTAACTTACCTGAGATTTTAAAGGAAGAGAGGAAGAAAGTAAGGAGAGCATGCTATGTTTCAGGCAAGGTGCTCAGTACTTCCAGTTGTTTTCTCATGGATAATGCAACACCCAGAGCAGACTTGAGATCCCCATTGCCAACCTCCTAGTTATCTTGTAGTGGAAGGAAGCCAAAGGAAATATGGTACTCAATTGACATAGTCTTATCACATAGTCTTATCACAGACATGCGTTGCTTTTCATCTAGAAAATAGAAATAGTAGGGGTCCTTCCTAGTGGTGCCACTTCAGCTTGCAATAGATCCCTAGCTAGGGAGGTGACCCATGTGGCTCAGCAGACCCCTCCTGTATAGTCTTATACATTTTTTCCTTAAAAAAAAAGCATTTAATTTATGCCATTAAACCTAAACCATTTAAGTACAACAAATTTTCCAGCCATGTTGAGTTAAAAACATGATACCTTCTTAACTTCTGGCTGACTATTGTCTGTTATTCTTAGTAAGGTACTTACTATTTTAATTGAAAATTTGGAATTCTTTAGAACACTAACAAACTATTTCCAAAAAAGTGCAGAAAATCTAAATGGGTGATAGGCATAAAAATTAGGGGTCTTTTTCCAAAATATTCACTGACACAGATAACTATCTTTGGGACCGAAGATAAATGAATAAACATAATAGAGAGAAAGATAACTGTAATGACTTAATTAATAGAATACATTTTATTTAAAAGGTTAAATTGGGAACAATCATCTTTTATGCACATGCTTAGTGCAGGGAAGTGATTTAAATAACAGTAGCAAATGAGAAAATGAGGTAAAATTACATACACTACCATGCTTTTTTTCCCCCTCTAAATGACAAGTGTTATAATTAAGGCTCAACTTCCTTTACAACTCACATTACCTTACAAC